GTGCCTTTTCCGCCTCGACTCTTTTTTCAATTCCTTCTTTACGCTCTCGGCCAATGTGAATGCCTGCTCATCCTCCGCACCCTCTGTTGCCTCTCCTTTGTCAGCTGCATCTTGTCTGGCTCGCTCAAGATATGATGCGACTCCTTCGAGCGGTCTGATACGCTTTGATTCTTTCGGAGGCAGTGCGGGATCCTTGTCGGTAGCCAGTGGGACGGCTTTTGGCAACTCGGGCCGAGGAACGAACAGCCGTAGAAGGTTGGGCGGAAGGTAGCCTGACATTGCAATCCGAGCCCAGGCTGATATGAACCGCGGAGATGTGGTTCGTTGAGAAGATCTCCAAGCGGGTCTATGGCGTCGCGATGTGGGACGAAGATTGAGGTGCCACGACTGCGCGCACCATGCAGTCAGTGACTCAGCCGCGTGAAGTAGCCAATTTGTGATGGGTGGGTCACAGGTCTACGAGTTTGACCTTTTTGAGCGACTCGAGATTGTTCGAATGTTGCTTTGATCAGACGTGCTTGCGATCGCAGGTCGATGCCGATCGGACGATCGAGCGATGACAGGGATGTGAATCCAGAATCCCATCAGGCGTTCCTTCTCAAGGCCTTGCGCTTCGAGGTGCATCCACGTGGGGTCACGCGCCGCGCGTTTATATACCGGTATGCGCGCCCAGCACAGCCGTGACTGCATGTGACCGTTGAGATTGGCGCGCGGCGCGTGAGGTTCGTCGAGGTTTTATGTTGATTACAGGGTGATTCACGACGGATGATGAGAGGCCCAGACGCGCCGAACTCGTTTCGTGGATGCATACAACAGCACAAAGGCTCATCAGCGCCTCCACCTACGCTTCCGGTTCACTCCACCATCATCACTTCATTCGACCGGTTGAGGATAAGCAGGTCAGCGACTCGTCAGTCACCAGTGCACCGCGCATCCGGCTTTTGCATTGCTAGTACAGTCCTGCCTGTCGCTTGGCACCATCACAACCCTGCTACCAACGACTGGCGGCTCGTAATACCCGGCCTAGGATCTTCGTGTTGCATTGGTCCACGCCTCATCGTCCTTCGAATCCTCTGCTTAGCGTCTCACATCGAATCCCCATCTGGTGATACTGACATGTCTGCGTGCGACTCAAGCCTACTGAGCGCGCCTCCGGCGCCGCTGCCCGTCTCAGCAGTGGCAGGTCCCAGCAAGAAGCGGCGACTTGAGGCACCTGAGGGCAGCACAAGCCCAATGAAAAAGGAAGCGAAGAAGTTGAAGAAGGAAGAGAAGACGCATCACCACAAGGAGCAAAAGAAGGGCAAGGAAAAGTCGCACAAGAAGAAGGATAAGCCCGCCAAGTCGGACGGGAGAGAGGAAGTCCTTGACGCAGGGAAAAGGAAGAGGATCCCTGCACCTATTGCTCTTTCTGACAACAGTGATAAAGAAGAACTCTCGCCTCCACCGTCCGACTCCGGTGGCAGCACTGCCGAATCTGATCGCGAGCAAGAGCTGACAAGATGGACGAAGTCAGAGCGGGAGCAGTGGAAGAAGCCATTGCCTGACCCCACTAAAGGCACGACACCGGATGGTTCATATGAAACGGAACGTATTCTCAGGTGGCGCAGGCGTCCCAGGACAGGTTGGATCCAGTATCGTATGCAGTGGACCAAAAAGGTACGTGCGATCTGGACACCCTTCAGGCGTATGCGCGCATGATCGTGACTCAAGTTTGTCGCCTGCTCTGGTTCCGCCATGCGTCCTTCCTGCCACGCAGGCTTTCGGACACGAGAGCAATACCTGGGAGCCAGAGGGAAACATTGCGGGTAGTGATATTGACGAATTCTGGGCTAAGGCTGGCCCTAGGCCGCCGGATCTTCCACCACTGCCTCGAGATGAAGATGGCGATCCCATAGGCCCCGATGAGCACAATATCCCAAATGCCACAGATGAGGAGTTGGAGAGCCCCGACCCCGCCACTCGACGTGCAGCTCGTCGGAAACGTCGGCGCGATTGGCGTGTTGATGTCTTCTGGGAACGCCACTGGCAGCGCGCAGATTCAAAAGCAAGAGCGGCACAGAAGAAGCAGCTAGAGCAGGAAGCCGAAAAACGCCGCCTTCAAAAGGTAAAGAAGGACAGTCTGGCGAAGCAACGGCTCAAAAATCAGGCTTTGAGCGTACCCTACGGAAATGCGGACGCAGGGGCACAAGAAAAGGCTGATCGCGAAGCCGCCATCGCGAAGCGCAAGACTGCTGCTGCATCTGCACCCACTGCTGCAAACACAAGTCTAGCCAACGGCGGCGGACATGTCAAGCCGCAAGGCTCCGCTCCCCCGAGAATTACTCAACCCTTGGCCAGCAAGAACTCAGCAGCTACAACTTCTGCCTTACCGTCTGGGACTGCCAACGCGGCACCTCGCCCGATATCCAAGGCTACCCCGCCGCCACCTGGACGGACTGAAGATCGCGCAACGCGCCTTCCGGGTATCAGCCAGGAGAAGCGCCCCGACAAAGGCTCATGGAAGGGTGCACACAAAAGCGAGAAGCGAGGTGTCGTTGATATGGTGAGCAAATGGCTGCATACCAATGCAGCTGGACGTCGTTCTCAGCACTGACTCGACATGTACGTCCGCGTACACAGTCCACCCATCCTCAGCCAGCGCCCATGAAAGCCTTTTCAGGTATTTTCACACAGCGACCCGCTACTGCGCCGCGCAATGCCAGTGTGAGTCACGGTCTGGTCTGACTTGAGATGGAATGTTATCATACTCACCCGGAAATCATCTGGCTTCGTCGCAAAAAGGCGAGCGCAATCTTGACTACGCCGCCTGTCACAGCCACGTCAAGGCAGGCAAGCGATCTAGTCAGCTCGGCACCCTCGGACCTCGCCGCAGCAGGTCCTCAGCCGCAAAGTACAGCTACTTTCGCCACGTCGACGAATCGCACACCTCTTGGCAACTCACCATCTTCTCCTGATACTGTGGTCCCACCTTTAGGTCCCGCCAAGTGGAGAGCCCCTGCGCTTGCGCGGGATAGTGGCGCAGCCAGTCATCCCGTCCAGTCCGCTCCACCTGCAAGTGCTGCTGCTCAGACTGCACAGCCCACACCCGCACCTGCGCCTGCACTCGCGCCCGCTGCCACTACCGGCGCCCTTGCTGAGCCGTCTCGCCCTGTGCTGAAGTCGGCCTTGAAGCGCCCAGGCGAGCCTACCCAGCAGTCTGAGGCACCACAGCGCCAAACTCAAAAAGCTGGTGTGACTTTCCCGCCCAGTCCTGAGTCTGGCGACGTACGGAAGAGAGGTTTGCAAAGGGCCTCTACCCCCGGCGCAGCAGACGCTGATAACAGGCGTCTCCCGCCAACAGAGAGTCCTGCAAGCCCCACTGCGCCGCCTCCATACCAGCCTCCTCCACCACCTCTATCTCCGGGCCACGACGCACCGGTCTACGGTTTGACAACGCGACCGGATCGACCGACGAGCTCTGACACCTCTGCCAATGCAAATTCTCATCCTGCCTTGGACGATGGCGCTAGGCAGTACGCGGGCCTCACCGCCAACGGAGGCGCGACGTTGCAGTACGTGATGCCACCTGTGGCCCCGAAGAGCTGGGATGCGCATGATCCAGCAGCGCCCTGGGCGCCACGGCCTTATCATCCTATCCAGAGGTATTCGGCATGCGGTAACGATCGCAATCTCCCCCTGCGACCCCAAGAGGCCGGCATCCGCCATTACGAACGACCAGCTCTCCCTCACAATGGCCAAACGACACCGATGCACCGGCCTCAGATTCAGTCGCCTTTGGGTGGCTTCGGCGAGAGTACATTTGCATCTACGCCATTGCGCAGAGATGTCGCGGACGGTGATCTCGAACGGCTGAGCGACAGGTCTCTGGACTCGGGAAGATCCGATCTGGACCGGCAACAGCATCCTCGGCCCCAGCGCCAGGCGCATCATGACGAACGAGCTGCTGACTCATATAAAGCGCAAATCCAGAGGTGGGACCCAGGGGAAAAATTAGTGAGCCGAATAACACGCTCGTACAATTGGGCAATGCCTGGATCTCCGCCAGAGCTGCTTGGTGCCTTGGCATGGCTGTGCAAGTCCAAACAGGCCGTATACAATCCTCCAGATAGGATGCCATCGGTTGGAAAATGGATGGTGCCGAATGAAGCAGGCGAGTACCGGAAAATGGTAGTCTTCGTGCCCGATCCTTCGATCAAGCTTCCAAAAGACATCGCTGCAGCGAAAGGAATGCAGCACGTCTACTTTTATCACCTCACTGCGCGCGCGATTACGCAAATCTGGGACCTGCCCATCGAGGGACCCGGCGGTTACGCGGTGCCTTCATTGAGTGCATACGTCGATTACTTTTCGGGGGCCGACAATGCGCCTGTTTTTCAGTCAAGGCTCGGTGAGAGTCTCATGTTCCATCCTTGGCATGCGCAGACAGTTAGCGCTTTCATCGAAGCAGGTTGTGCTGAGCAGCTTCTGCAAGAGCTGCTGGGTCTCGACGAGCCGGACGCCTTGGATCGCACCGCCAACCTTCACGACGCGATCAGCAATTCAGATATGCCACTCATCGACCTCGAGAACTCGGAGAGAGCTGTCTTGCCTCGCTCGAACATGGCAGAGCTCCCGCCTGCGGAAGCAGCGCGACTTGTGGACGACGAGGTGGTGGAGGCACTGCTTCACCTTCAGAAGACACAAGTGCATGTGCGCATGCACGTCATGATTCTCGGCCTTGCTAGCCATATTTCGAACGACGCTGGCATCACGGTTAGATTGAACTTTACAGATTAGAACATTGCTCGGGTACGTCGTCTGTGCGAAATTTGTTGTGTTTGCTAATCGTCGCGCACGCAGATCTGACGCCCGCTTTTCCGCCAGTCTAGGTACCTGGAGCTGGAAAGTGGGCTACCCTTCAGAGAGGGGCTTTGTTCAAAGAAGACAAGTCTCAACAGCTGCACTTGGGTGGAAATCTTGGGCCAAGGACTTCAGCCTTGCCAGCTTAATTCTGGCTCAAAATTTCACATGAGTAGAATATGCAGGGACAAGCCCCTTGCAGGTCAGGCATGATTGTCTTTCAAGAGTTCCAACTCTTGCTCTTGTTCCCAAGCCCTTGATTTAGGCTATGCATAAGCCCCTGATTGCCTTCATGCCTTTTTTGTTTCAATTGATCTGTTTGATGCGACAAAAGTCATGGCATTTGATGCCCAATTCCTCCTTGGGAGCACAACTAACGCACAAGAGATCACAGTAGGGTTTGTAATTGTGCGTCCCACTCATAGGTAGCATTGGCATGTGATGATCAATCTTCATCAATCAGAAGATTGCAATTGCCAAGTTGCAGGAGACGCAGGTCCAAGCCACCCGCAACAGCAACCTACAAAGCCACCCATGCAACGCATCAATCAAAGTATACACCACTTTGATTGTATATCACTAAGACAAACACCCTCTACCGTATGCTATGCCATACACATGTTGTACAATGCCTGTTGTCTATAAAAACACATGCTGGAGAGTCAATCTCCCACAAATACAACATCTAGAACCTCATCTCTAGTCCAATCTGACCTTTGTCTGGCAAAACCAGCAGACGACCCCTTCCTCATAGCTCACTTGTGATCACATGTAGAGAGCAACCAAACACTCACGCGCGCTATTTGCAGCTGACCATCTCCTCTACCTCCATTCCCTGGCTTCATCTTCATCCACCCAATCCTGATTTGTGGCCTTGTCCGCAAAACAATTGATGGGCACTGGCACAGGAGGTGGAACAAAAGACGATGCAAGCATCTGCAAGCTGACACCTTGATTGGCACCAAGGCACATCACAATCAAGTCAGTCTTGGACTAATTGGGAGGATGGAGTAGTGCGCTGGAATCTTGGTAAGTCTCCTACCCTTCCTGCATCAAGAGCGGGATACCTGGCCAGTTGGCACTCCAGGTGTCACTTGGGGGCTTTGCCCCACCGCAGTTTAACGTTTTCAAGAAGGCCCATCCAGACAGTTTGATGGCAAGCTTCACTGGCAGGCTTACTGTAGAGGGAAATTGAAAGTCCCATATTGGTGCACTCTTCCACCTTGGGTGCATATTTGCCCATGCCTCCCAAGCTGTTGAGAGATCTCAGGGCTTCTTCTGTGCCGCTGCTAGCCAGCAGCATTACGACTTTGATGCTGAGTCGCACTCCTGCCATCGCAAGATGAGTACCAACGTACAAGCCAGCAAAGTGTGACGTACTCTCCACATCAACTCCAAGGGACCAAACGTCGACCATCATGCACAATCGCGAACGAAACGAGGCTACACACCTATATCGGTCGTTCGACGTGGAAATGAACAGCAGAAGCAGCGTCGAAACCGTCTTTGTCCACATGATGCATGGTCCCCGCTGTCCTTGTCACGAAGCGATCTCCGTCAGCAAACTTTTCTTCAGCAGAGTCAAGCACTTACCACCATAATCTCAAAAGCTAGGCTTGGTGAAGTCCACCTGCTCAGCTCTAGGGCAGTTGGTGCAAGAAGGAAGGGTAGGCGCTTAAATTTCTGTTCGTGTGACAGCGACCTACAATCCATCATCCCAAACGCCCCTTGCAAATCTACCCCCCTGCGCCTCTCCGGACGGCGCGAATGGCACGCGCGGTCCGTCGTGGACCACATCCGGATATCTCCTCAGCAGCACATCCGTCCTGCTTCTCACATCGTCCTGCGCCAAGTAAGCTCCGCACATTCTTCGCTTGCCTGTGAAAGCTGACCGGCCATGCAGCACGCGCTGATTGGCTATGGCTGATATCCAGCAAAGCGGGAGTGCCGGGCAGCGTGAGCTCTTCTGAATCGAAAGTGATGCGCCGAAATGATTCGACAGGGTACAATCCTGAGCATCCTTCTTCCAACTCACAAAGCGCTGTGCCAGGTACCAGCTGTTGCCAGTATTCGCCGTCCGTCGAGGTCAGAATTTCGTTCCATCTGCCAAGCAAGGTAGCGAGGCCAGGCAGTGGAACGTGAACATCTCATAGACGACAAACTTCCGAGCTACTGTGCTCCAAACTCACTTTCGCAGAGCGTCATAGAAGGGCATGACCTCTTCTTCCCTCAATTTGAGTGTCGATCGATCATCATTGTTCTGTCGCACCAAAAGCAGCTCGCCCGTACGGTCGTCATGTTCCAAGATAGGATAACCCCTAGGGTGCATAGGTCGAATGAACGTGTCTTCATCGCCAGCCGAGTGGGTAGATATCCTCGTCTCGCTCAAGATCCTGTAAGCTTCGGGGTGAACATCCCTGAGCACCTTGGCGGCCAGAAAGCCATCCACCAACAGACTTTCCCCTCCTTTTGCTGGAGTTCCATCCTCGCTTGCTGAATGCTCGAGTAGGTGGAAGAGCTGCAGACCGCACGGGTCCGTAAAGTAGGTCGTATCGGTGTGCGCTCCCAGCGCGATGGAGGTGTATGCGGTGTCTCCGTGGGCCAAATTAGAGGTGAAGTCCCAAAAGCCGCCATAGTGCGTCGGGCGGATGAATGCAATCTTTTCGATCAACTCTTGAGTGGCTTCGGGGGTCACTGGCACGCCGGCGATGAAGCAGAAGCCGTATGCATCCTGCATCGCAAGCGTGCGTGAGCATTAGTAGCCCGGTAGGTTGCCTCAACCTTTCAGCACTCACCAGCTTGCCAAGCCACTTTGCTACACCTCTCTCGCTAGCCAGCTCTTGATGCTGAACAGTGGGTGGGTTAGATGCTATTCCCCTTCCCCACAACACCTTGCCCCGCCTCTCCATGCCAAGATCGTTGGACTGCACATCCCCAGCCCCGTCCAAAGAGGACATGTTGGAGCTCAGCACAGGAGCATAGGAGTTGGCACGAAGCCAGGACCAAGGGTAAAGAGACTGATGCTCGATTCCCGTGGATGTCGTCTCAGTCGTGGTGCTGGGCACACTCCCATCTGAAGCACCATGCTCGTTAGTCGTGTCGGCTCCCTGTGACGACGCACCACTCGAGACAGGCCCATCCAGACCGGGCCAAGTAACGAGCAAGCCTTCCATGGTGCTTTCGACGAACAATGGCTTCACATCTTGAGGAATGGCAAAGGTGTCCAGCAACCTCTGCTTGGTCTTGGGATGGTAGCACGTTGCACACCTGCAGTGGTCCCGTAGCCACAGATGATGGAAACGAGAAGTGACGCCGGAAGACCACGTGACGCTTGTTTGGTTGGAGGCAAAGGACACCGTGGGGGTTTGAAGAGAGCTGGACGCAGAAGGAGCTGGAGATGTGGAAAGAGTAGACGAGAGGAAGGGTATGGAGCTGGACGAGGTGTTGGACTGGGCAGATGTGGCGTTGTCGGGCTCTCGTCGAACAGGGCTAGGCTTAATGGCGCCCAAATCATTGCCCCAGGAGGATGCATTCTGCAAGATGGATGAGGAAGAGAATGGCCGACGATTAATCTGACAAGGTCTAGAGGGTGCTCGAGTAACGACAGGCATGCCCGGCCTGATGAGTACCGGCAACACCGACGAGTGGCATCTCGCGAATGCAATCTTCATTGTATGCGTACAGTCCGTGAGCGTGAGGGTGTGAAGTCGAGACGGGACTTGTGAATGAGGGGAGGAAAGGAAGATGAGGGAAAGCGAAGCGCGGGCTACGTCGTGGATGCGGGAGCAACCAACTTCAGGCTCAGGTCGCGCCAGTCGTGAGTCGTGAGCAGTCTTGATTGTTTGGCGCGGCCATGCATGCGAAAGTCGCGATTCCGTTGAGCTCGGCAGGCAACGGATCCGACGTGAGGCTCGCACGCGACAGGTCTGTGGGGACGAACACGTGACCTCCACATGGGAGGCTGGCTGTGCGGACTTCATTCATTATTATTGATTCTCAAATCAAGTATTGAGTTCAAGTCTTTGAGTGTTTACCAGCAGCTGGTTGGAGAGGTTCCACAACATCACGATCTGCTTTGCCACCATCGCAATCTCGATTGTGCATCTCGCCGTCCATGGTGGATAGCGAAGACGCAAATCTCAAGTCGACAGCTGCAACTCCCTTCGCATGCCGAACCACTCCCCAGAATGACACTCGCTCTGCCCCCCAATCTGGCTGTTCTGGCCGATCGCGTGGCTTCGGGAAGCGCCTGCAAACCTCCTCTGCAGTACGGCAAGAATGTCTACAACCAATCTTTGACCGGAGAGATTGAGCAATGGGTCAAGGAATGTCAATCTCCTCCCTCTGCCAGGGCGCTATTGTACTCGCTCAATGACGATCCAGAGGCGCATGAGGTGAGTTTCACTGCAACCCAGAGGTGGATGCAAGTCCAAGGTGAAGAGTTCAGGCTTGGCAAGTCGACGACGGCAAGAAGAGGTGTGCGTGCCGCCAAGCGCGCACCCTCACGGCGTATCATCGCTGCTATTGCGCACGAGGCTGACTTCGAATGCCGCAGATTGCTCAAGCAGATGAGGGCGATGCCACTTCGGACTTGCTGCACTCCATCCATCATCGTCGCGAAGGAGATTTCTGGAACTCCAAGTGGTGGATTCGACAGATATCTCATCCCGTTCTTCAATCCGTCCATGGAGGCTCAAAAGGTGCACAGAGCTTTGTCGATGCTGTAGAGAGCATCACCAAGGGCGCAGGAACGGTCTGTGGAGCAAAGAGGCTAGACGAGCTCAGGGATACGCAAGCGAAGGAATTCAGGCAACTCTTGAGGGCTACTTTCGATCTACAGGGAGATAGATGGGGAGATTGAGGGGAGCAACGAGGATACCGCTCCACTGTGCTTGCCAGAGTCAAGGCGTGATTCCCCTCCTGCGCTTCATTTCGACTGCATGCGAGCAAGACACACACACGCTAAGTTGGCAGCATCCCATTTCCGCAAGCAGACACGTGTACCTCTCTCGCGCAGGCGATTTATATACATTGTTGCTCTGGCAAAGCTGTCTCGCTCCAAGATTGCTCTCAAATCAAGGCGGAGCACGTGATGGGATCTCTTCAAATTGGAAAGCCAGAGAGCGTGGAGGAGCACTGCGAGCAGGGGAGAAAGGGTTGGCTGCTGGCGGCTTACTCGCCGTTGTTGACGACGTGAAGCGGGCCTCTTGGTGGTTCGAGGGCTGTATCGTCGGGCGTACCGCTGCGCGAGAGCTCTCCACCATGATGCGGCCCATAGCGCCCTCCAGCAGGCTGCACGACGTTGAGTGTAGTGCCTGATCGCTGAGGTATGGGGGGTCTAGCGTTGTGCTGATGATCGCTCGGATAAGAATAAGCTGTGCCTGCCGATGCTTGACGAGCCAAATGTGCTGCGCTGCTATTACTGTGCTCCATCATTGGCATGTCGTTCGAGTAGGCCTGAGCATGAGGTTGATTTGACATGCTTCTCATACTGATCGAGTTGCTCAGCGAATGACCACCGGCGCCGGTGCGTGCATTCACCGATGTGCTGTATCCCAGCCCACCGGGCCCCGTGACATGTACAGGTCCAGTGGCGGGCGAACTGTGCGCTGAAAGGCTATTGCCTCCATACTCTTGTGACGGGGGCATCATCACTTCGTAACCTGGACCATGCGCGTCGTACGATGCAGGAGGTGGTTGCTGTCCAGCATCATAGTAGCCTCCATAAGCATCGTATCCGCCATACGTCGGGTCGTATCCGTATTGTTGAGGATCAGGGGCTACCTGCTCGTCACCGTGAGCAGACCACCCCGGCGCGCTCCGTGCCCCGTTGTGAGGGTACATGTGACTGTCCATCGATCGCATATGAGACAGACCTTGTCCAGCAAGGTTCGGACCGTACGCGTCGGAGCCGTGGGCATCGCTGTGCCCATACTGCACCACATTGTCATCGCTTCCCAGATTCTTCATTTCCACCTGGCTAAGATCTTCGTCAGCAGAAAGCCCAGCGTTCGTGGCAGGTCTGCCAAACAGAGCTTCGGCCGAATTGTCTGTCGGCTTGTGATCCGCCTCGAAGGCGAGCCATTCGACCTGAAAAAGCAGGCAAGCGCGAGTGAATTACGGATCTCAAGTGGATTGATAGAACGGTAATTCAATGGCGCACCTCGCGTTGCTTTCGCGCACGTCTCCGGACAGGTAGCAAAATCAGATAGGCTGGGAGGCCAAAATCGAGCACGGATGAGCTGATCGATTTCAAGGGAGGCATGCCACATCGACCAAAGGACTCACTCAGCAGTATCAAGCCAGCAATACCACCCGCGATACCGCCGATGATGGCTCCGAGCTAAGTGAGATTGCCCCCTCATCGTCAGCTTCGGGTCGACCAACTCTGTAGCTCGCCCCGCCTAAACTCACGTTGATTTCCTTAATGATCGAACAATAGCAGACCAGCCCAGCAATCAGCAACAGCTCAAACGTTTAGCGCCGCCAATGCTACTCACGGAACCACCTCCGGTTGGAGGCAGAGCGCCAGCCGTGGCGACCGAAGTCTGCGTAACGAGGACTACGTTCCCATCGCTCGTGCTCGACACGGTGGCGTAGCTGGTACTCAAGCTTGGGATGCTCGAAGTGGCCGTCATATTGGGCATTTGAGTCATGGATGCCGAGGTGGATGATGGAGCAAAGGTAGAGGACGAAGTCAGGTTGGGCAGAGGCAGGCCGGTGGACGTCTGTAGAGGTGCAAACGTGCTCGACGTCGAGGTTGGAGCGGGAGTTGGACTTGGCAAGAAAGTGATTGGAGTATGCTCACTCCCACTTCCTTGACCGCCTGTTCCATCACCCTGACCCGTATCGCCCGTTTCACTTCCGGTCCCAGTCCCAGTGTCACTTCCAGTCCCGCCAGTACCGCTTCCTTTCGCACCATTCTGATTGCTACCGGCAGAAGGTGAGTTCGGGCTCGTACTTCCTGTGGTGGGAGAGCTTGGAGTAGTGGGAGAAGTTTTGGGATCAGTGTTTGGAGTAGTTGCGCTGGCATCTGACGGCGTCGAGTCAGGACTCGGAGTCGTTCCGGTAGCTGCCTTCTTCGCTGCGCCACTGTCAACTGTTCCCGTATTGTGGGAGCCAGTCGGAGTGACGGGCGGCGTGTTGGCGGGATTCAAGATGCCCGCAGCGTCTTTACCACCCTGACCCAAGGCACTGCTCGGTGCTGCACCGTTCGCGATGGCCTCTTGTGGTGTAATGGCTTGGCTCATGACTCGAAGCGGTCAACGAAGCGACAAGCTTTGTGATAAAGCTGGAGAAAACAAGAGTAAATCGAGGAGTCCAAGATGATGGCGCGATACAAAGCAGCGAGATGCGAGGTATAGCAAGCAAGCGAGACCCAAAGACGTAGAGTCGTGAATTGAGTGGATGCGAGTTGAGGATGGGCAAGTCGTGAGGGCAGCCGTCGTCGAGCAAGCAAACAAATGACGAGTTGTGAATGCTGCAGCTGCTGTATAGCTGCTGCGCTGACTTTTGCCTGTTGTTCTGCCATACACGCACTTTTGCAAATCAGGTAGCACGGCTCCCCCTCCCCACTCAATTACGACTCATCAGACTCTTATTTGGGCGGCTTTTGTTCGGCAAAGTCGATTGTCACAAGCTTCGCCGATGACCTGAATCTGACTGCGAAAGCCATCGTCCCCCATTCCAACAGCGAAGGAGTTTGCGCAGCATGAACAACCGCATGCTGTCGCTGCATGACGACGACGAATGCTGTGCCGTGCCAGCACCGCAAGCTCCTTGTCTGCAGTGACGACAACCACATCAACGACCCGAGGTGCGCGCTCGCATATGAATCGATCCCAAAGACTCTTTGTCTCTTCGACATCAGCATAATTCAACGCCGGCTCAAGACCCATCAGCGCAGAATCCTGATCTGTTGCTGGTGCTGATGCTGCTCGTTCGCCTCACTTGATCAAGTCACCGCGCGCGTAGACTTCCCTGCAACGGAGACTGTCTGCGCGAGATGCTTGCCTCCTGTTTTGAAGGGGCAATCAAGCGGCTCATCAGCACCCACACGGGGCGGCGCGTGACTTGTGCAAGATGTTTGTGATGAGTGTGCGTTGCGCTTTCATGCACTCTACTCTGTGATGACTGTTCGATCTGCTGACGCCTGCGCACAATTGGTCAAGCAACAAAGCGAGGGTGCACGCGGGTGCGCGGTGCCCCGATGGGAAGCTCTTGAGCCCTGTGTATAGCTGCGCTTGATCGAGCGTCTGCCCTGATCGACTTGCACTCTGACTCTTGAATGCTGCCCAATGTCAACTCGAGTCAAAATGCGATGCATCCTCTTGTCGAGTCCAACAGCGGCGGCGGAGAAGATAATTAGGCAACAGCCGTCATTAGGTGGGCGCATGGCCGGCGACCTGCCATGACCATAAGAGAGCCAACAGTTCTCGACGCTGTGTTCAGCAAGCGAGAGTAGCGGCGGCAAATTGACCGACAAATTGACCGACAACTTGTACCGGCCGCAACGCGACAAAGGCGATTGGCGACGCGCTTCGTGATGCTCTATAGACGACATGTATACGTCTCGACAAGCTGCAAGTAACGCAGCTATAGTCTGACGAGTCTGTCGCGCCCATGCATGTGATGATTCTGATTCGTGATTCGTGATTCAAGATCACATGCGCGCTGCGGTCTCAAAGATATCGCCGCGCGCCCCGCCCTTGATGCTGAGGCGTCATCTCATATCGCATGTGCATACGACTGAGCTCGCCGCCGAGTACCTGGCCCGCAGCATGCACTCGACGCCTTTTGTGTCAGCTTTGAATAGCTGACGATGCGTTTTGCATCGCTGTCTCCAATCAGTGCTCTTGGTTCGCAGCAGCGTCTGGTTGCTATTGAGCGCGCTTCAGCTGGCTCATAGCGACCCGGCCGGTATAGCATAGCCCCTAAACGTAGACCAGAACAACCGAAACAAAGGCGATCCGGCTCCGTCTTTGCGCAAGAATAGGCTAGCATGCAGCAAGACTGAAGAGACTCGGGCTCGGAGGCTCGACTTGCGAACGTTATCGAGTTATGCCCTCGGCGATCGACCCTTACTTGAGCCGCAAACCCAAAATGCGAAGCAACGCGCATAGCTAAGGATAAAGATCTGCAATGGTGCTCAGCACGTGCACTCACTTGTAAGGGGACCCCAGGATGCCATGCCTTAGACCCGAAAGAAGGCCAATGACTGAAGATGCCATCTCGTTGGTTACAAAAAGAGGCTTTTGTGGGCGCGCTGCTCCGACGTAGTTAGTGACCGAGGCGCTACACAATCCTTCTTTGAGACGTGATGGTCAGGACGGGTCGATCGTCAAGACCACGCAGATGCGTTGCAAGATCAAGAGATGACAACTTGGGTGTATTCCCTCCTCGAAGGTGAGTCGTACTTTGCGCGATGAGTGATGGGCTACGACCACCTCAAAGTGGAGAGGCCCTCGATGTCGAAAGTCTGTGGAACGGCTGCTAGACCAGCGGTGCTCCAACGAATCGTTGCGCCTATTTTTCGTCCTGTTTGCGTGCCTCACAAAGTTCCTCACGCTTGCGCCAAGTTGCTCGTTGGAAGAGCTTATTGGGAGGCGCGGTACTGCTGCGAGATGCGGGAGAAGCCTGAAATGGGTAGATGGGAGCGAGTGTGGTTGAGTTCGAGCGTAGCTTGAAGGTGAAAGCGGGGCAGAAGAAGCACGGAAACTCCTTCATTCGACCCCTTGATCGCTTTTCAGCATGCTTGTTTGCAGACGGAGATTCGATCCTTGCCATGCCTCGATTCTATCAGCGCAGAATCGAGGGACAGCCAGGCAGGGTTCCGATTGAGCTGCACTACATTCTGATTGATTGAGCGGAGCAACTTGTCCTCGGAGCTGAGGTGCGGGGCAATGTCCAGGACGTCGATTTGCTGGCAGCATTCCGCACCATGCCGAGGGTCTGTCAACCTCGCTGAGTGTCACTACCGCTACTGGCTAGCAGACCGAGGCTACGAAGCTCAAGTTGGAGAGGGGACCTTTGTCCAGTCCACTGAGATGATCCGGCCCGGCCCCGGCCCCACTCCATTCATCATCTCATTGCTATCCTGCGATAGCCGCCGTACCGCTTCCGCTTGCGATGTTTGCGCAGCTTCCAAGTCTTCTAGCGAAATGAAATGAAGTCCCGGGAAATCATACGTCCTCTCGATCGCTGCGCTGTGTCTTGAAGCTCGCATGCTCCTCATGCAGGCTCGAAGCAGAAGACCCAAAAATTTTGCCTGTCATCGCTTGAGTGCTATTGCAGCCTTCACGTACCCCCACGTTGACACCTTACATTTTGAAAGCCTCTCCTTCTTGATTCGTGACTCTGGACTCGGTGTTGCATCTAGTCTCCAATGGTTGTTCATGGTCTTCACCCTCGCCCGAAGCGTATGAGTTCCAGTTCGTGAGCCGCCTGAGAGGCGACTCGGTCCGGTTCAGATCGGTCTCATCTTGTGTTACGGTCCGCATCGTCGCTCGTCCAGTATGGCCGTGTGAGACTGTCGTGCACATCACAAGGCACACCAAACGTCCATACAGGGACGAGCGACTCTTGACTAGCTGGGCATCAACGCTGCATGCCATGATCTTGAATGTTGGAGTGCGACAGGACGAGGGTGAGACTACCTGGGCCCACCGCTCACTTGATGAAGATGTATGGCGGTACGACGAATGCGTGCATGCATGCATGGGCTGGCTGATGCAGGGGTGTGAGACGATGCGGTACGGTGAAGTCGCGCAAGTGTGTACCGTATACCTACTCGCTCAGCAGCTGCTGGGGTCGTGCGTGCGGCCCGCCGCCCCCCTGCTGCATGCGCATTCACTCGATCATTGTGATTCAAAATTTCACGATTATCCACGATCAATCGCCTCCCTGGTTTGGCAAGCCAACCAGCATTCCATTCGTCATTCTTGCTTCGGACGAATCACGATCATCGGGTGGCAGCTTCAGGGATGATCGAGTGTGGGTGGGGAGCGGATATTAGTCCCGGTTGTTGGTGGCACGCGTACCTGCCGCTGCTAGTTCTGTCAGTGACGAGCGAAGAGGAGGGTGGCGAGGAGGCACCTGGAGGTTCGAAGCTCTAGTGTGAAGTCTTCAATCACGAGTGGTAATGCTGTCTTCGTCCAACGTCGGACAATTGACTGAGTACCGTCGTAGCCAGAAAAAGGGGGCCGCGGTCCGAGCTTAAGTCGCCGTCGAGAGCAGGCACGAATGGTCGTTCGCAATAGCAGCATGCTGATCTCGCCTCGCACTTCATGTCCGAGCTCAGCAGCGATGGAACAATCTGATTAGCAAGAAACACCACTCTCCCCAGTCTTCGTACATTTTGTGCATGTCCATGAGGGAACTTTGAATATTCGAGCTGGATCGAGTCACAAGGCGCGGATGGTGATGCTGGCACTCCCAGCCGGCCGTTCAAGTGTACATCTCCTTCCATCTCCTTCTTGCTTGCTTTATATTCTGTTGATGCCCTTGGTGGTCGATCACCGAGGTAGGGGACTGCTAGGAGAGCTGAGGGAAGTAGAAGTTCCAGCATCGCTCAAGGAGAGACTGCCCCTACCAGCTCTCTCGGCTCTCCTCTTTCTCCTCCTAACCCTAGCTTCATCCTCTTCCATCCTCTCTCTCTCCTCCAATCTCTGACTGTAATACTGTCCCGCTTGTAGGATGATGATGCCCACCAAGGCCACGGCCACTACCGCGTTAGAGGAAGCCAGTTCGCGCAGAGGGACTAGGCAGGCATCTAGAGGATCCGAGGGGTCCGCTCGAGGTGCCGGAGCTAGCGCCGGAAGAGCATTGAGACCTGACAAATGGCGCATCCACGAGCTCAGCTCACCTCCCACTGGGCAATCCAATCAGACCATTCGCACTCACTCGGCTGGATGCGCTGATAGAAGACAACTCCTACGGCTCCGTAGAGGACTGGTTACCGGCAAGCCAAGATGGCTGAGAGCGTCAGCAGTCAGGCTCGACGATGGATTCTGTGTCGTGAAAAACGGCTGCCCGTTTCCTCGCGAGCCAGCATGGTCATCGCTTCTTCCTTGCCCAACGGCTTTGCTTCGTCTCACATCCAAAAGGATCGCGGCAAGCAAGCTCCCTCCGCGTGCATTCCCACGTTTGCATTCACAAGCGCATGACTCACAAAGACTAGCGCCATCGAACAACCAATTGCTCTCTCTTCCACCCGCAGCTTTGTACACCGTAGTTCCCACTCCAAGCGTTCCAACGATGTACAGCAGCCATGTAAAACCATGCGGCAAATCCGTCAGAGATTGGGAGTAGTAGGCGTGCGCTTCGATCAACGAGTTGTGGGTGATGGGAGATTGCCAGAGCACCAAATGATCAGCTCTCCAGTGCATGGAGAGCGTCCCCAGAAGAAAAGAGGTGGAGAGAAGCACTAGAGCAGTCGTCAAGTCGCCCATCTTTAACACCAGAGTCGAAAGGCAGCCTATGTGGAAGATTCGATCAGTAGACGCGTTTGGATGCCATTGACTTTTGACCAGCTCGTGCTTCTGCCGATCGCTAAACTTGTGTGTGTGTGCGTGTGTGCCTCCGAACCGATGCAACACGCAACACCCCCTATCGTCGGCAACAAAGCTGAGTGACGCTGGTCGAGAGAGGAATTTGCGCAAGAAGGGCGGGGCAAAGCGAAAGGAAGAGAGGAGAACAACCAGTCCAAGCTGGGTGAGAGGAGGTGACGATGGCGTTGAGGACAAGGACGCTGAAAGAACAAAGGCGGCAGGATCGAGAGTCAAAAGTGGCTCTGAACTTCGCGCGGCTGGCTGGCTGGCTACCTGGCTGGCTGTGACTTCATGCTGATTCCGACTCGAAGCAGAAGCGAGCGCGAGCGCGAGCGCGGTTGTGGAGAAGCGCGCGAGGGTGCGTGGATGCGCGGTTCTGGGTTGCACGTGCGGCGGGTTGGAGACACCGCGTTCGTCCACACGTGACGGGAATCTGCGGGCAGAACCATGCAGCAGCATCAGCGCCACGACGCACGCACGCACGCACGCACAAGCCAAGCCCTGCTTCTGCTGAACCATTCGTGCTGGAGCTTTCCGACGAGCCGAACGGCGGCGGCTGAGGCAGAGCTGATCGTGCTGCTTGTGAGTCTTGAGTCGACAGTCACCCGTGTGACTTCGCATTTACGATTGACATTGCTTCGCAACTACGACTTACCGTTCGGTCGTCGACCTCGGAGCGTCGCACACACTCCAACAGTCACGCTATCTCCACAAGAGCACACTGTCATCAGAGATCTAGCCGAATACTGGAGCATCTTCTCAAGCTTGCCAGACCCCCTTTCACGACCCCTCGGAACCTCTCGCATCTGCGCCCCGAAAGCGCCCTGCCGCCCGCTGCTCTCGACACTGCGAAGCTCGTCAAAAACTCGACCAGTTCGGGCAAGATGGCGCACAGACGATTAGCCGGGCAGCTGTTGTGCGTTCTGCTTGTCCTCTCGATCATCGCTCTCGATTGCGCGTCATTAGTCTCGGCCGCGAAAAAGCGGCCTCGGTCGAGCTCGAGCGGTGGCGCTGCCTCACCTGGCAGCGCTCGCTCCTCCTCCTCAGCCAACTCAAATTCTGGCATTCCTCCGGCTTTCCTTCAGCAAGCCTCTACCTCTCCCCACGGCATCATCGATCTGCCCAATCCTCAATCTTTTGTTCAGATCACCTCTGGTGCTAGAAACTACTCCAGTGTGGTCCTGCTCACCGCGGTCAAGAGCGGTGTCTCTTGTCAACCTTGCAACACTTTTGCGCCTGTTTATGAAACCCTTGCGAAAAGTTGGAAGAGCAAGAGCAGAGGTAGCTCAAAGGCAGACGTCATCTTTTCGCTCTTGGAGTTCAAGGATGGTCAAGATGTGTTCAGACAGGTGAGCTGTTCACTTCGTGCAATGTCAGACTTGCACATCGCTGCATGCGTCTTTGACTATGCTGATAGCATACCTTCCGTGTGTCATCTCTTTGCGTCTGCATAGCTTCAACTCAGCTATGCGCCAGTCCTGCTGTTCTTCCCTCCTACTTCGGGCCCCAAAGCGCGCGGATCTGGACAGCCGATCAAGTACGATTTCAACCGTCTAGGCTTCGAAGGTCCGGAAGTGGCCTCCTTTCTCAGCGATAATTTAGGTTTTGCATTTCCCTACGTCAAGCCATTTCCCTGGAGCACTGTCCTTTCCTTCTTCGGTAGCGCGGGTGCGATCGTGGCCTCTATCATTCTGCTGGCTCCAAAGATCGCTCAGGCTAGAGGACAAGGTGTGGCGTCTATTGCTAGCGCAGGCAGCAAACTGATTTGGACTGCACTTTGCTTGGCGACCATCGTCGTCATGACCTCGGGCTACATGTGGAACAGTATCAGAGGAGCGCCCTACCTCATGATGGGACCCAAAGGAAAGCCCGAGTATTTCGCTGCTGGCTTCCAAAATCAGTATGGCGCAGAAACGACGATTGTTGGCGCATTCTGTGAGTGGGCTTTCATGGAGACAGACAAGCTTTGTGCTCGCTGACGAGAGAAATTCTTCGCTTGGCCGCACGTCATAGATGCGCTTCTTGCATTCTCCTTTGTCAGCTTGACCGTGTTTGTGCCGGCTCAGAGAGATCCAGTCAGACAGCGCGCAGGCGTGTACGTCTGGAGCGTCATCTTCCTCGCCACCTTCAGTCTGCTCTTTGCAGTGTTCAGAATCAAAAAGTACGTAGTTATAGAGATGCCTTTCCGGATGTGCTGCCTCTGTGTGCACCTAGCATACAGGCTGCTGACTTGCCAAACTACGCTTCTTGCCATACTCGGCTTCTTTCAGTCCTTCGTATCCCTTCGTAAGTCTGTCCCGGTGATCGCAAAGAGGCCTATAGCTGACGAGCTACCTCACTAACTTTTACGTCACAGCGACTCTTCTTTTGAGCGTACAAAAGCAATGACGAAAGGACAAGATGTGCAGCCGATCGACGGAAAGTTCTGTGAGGCTAGAGCGTGCGCGCAAGATCAGCCCCTGCGAAGGATTTGAAAAAGTGTTCGAGTGTCTGTGGTGCATCACGCCGTACTGGGTGTATTAGTCGAGCATTTCAGCCCGATCGATTTTCGCATTAAATTAAGCGTCACCATTACGTGGACCAAGTCGCCCCAACCACATCGAGACAAGCCTTGAGCAACGCAGAGTGCTCTTGCGGCCCCTCTCTATCAAGTCTGGGACTCTGTAGAGGGTTAGCCCTGCCAATGCGTCCCAGTGAAAGTCCTTCAGGCACGGCCACCTCCTTGATCCCCTCCAACGGCTGCGAGGTGCCCGCAACTGCTACGGATCCTGGCCCGGGCGTTCCTATGGCGGATGCCTGCTGCGTCAACAGCGAAACCAGTGTGGGGTATATGTTGAACAAGTGCGCTCGAGGACTGGAGAGCGCCAGTGAGCGCAAAGTGGGCTCTATGGTGTCAGAGCTCTGACTGTTGTGTTCTGAAAAAGTCTTTGCAGCCAACAGGCTACCGGGCCACAGATGTAGATCCAACATGGAGCTCAAGACGTAAGACAGCTCCTCTGATTGTATCCGTGGAGGTGGTGAGCTGCCTCGAAGAGGCGCGTTCGCAGCAAAAGACTGAAGCGCCAGCGACGTCCTTTTCACGAGAGCGGGTAACGCCAACGTTGCCACGCGTTTGCGCTCCTCCACTCGATCTGCGCAATAGCGAGCATGTGCCAGGTCGGGACAGGGTCAGATCTCGATTGCACTGCTCTTGTCAAGATATGGGGGCACTCACCTTGCCATCCATTCGAGCACATCAGGAAAAGGAGATCAAATGCCCAGTACGCGAAATGCTCGCGCGGCGTACCAATGATGGGCGCCACAGTTCCTTCGGGCGGCACGTCAGCCCATTCGCCGTTCTCCGCATGAAGGTGAGAGGCAGACAGCAAGGCGCTATCTGTCCGAGCGCTATAAGGCGCCGCTAGATCGCGATCCAGCTGGTAAAGGCTGGACGCTCGAGCCAAGCCAAATGCCAGACTTGCAATCAGATATGCAGGCACACGAGCATCACCGAGGAACGGTAGCACATCGACTTCTAGAGTGCTGAGAAGGACCAAGTCGATGCTTTCGTGCTCTGCGGCTTCGGTCATGGACAAAAGTCGGGCAGCTGAACTGTGGTAGGAACGGCCATTCGTCAGCTTTCCTTGCGCGAGCACTCCAGCTTCGCGTAATAAACTCACCAATCCGCGTCAAAGGCGCCTTCAAATGTTGCAAGCATATGTTTCCAGATGCCATGGACCGCTTGATTAGAGAGCGCGTCACCCTCGCGCCTCAACGCCAAGCATGTACCTTGAGCAATGCGGCAGAACGTGATCGTGGCCGTCTGCCAGAGGGGTGCAGCCCGAGGCTTGGCATGTCGGCTTGCAGGCGGACACTCATACTTGAGCTTGAGAGGTACCAGTAAACGACTGAACGTGTTCTCGAGAGCTCCACTCGCAAAAATTTCTTGACTAGATGAGAAGCGCGAGAAGGTGTTGAGAACATCCTCGGTAGCAGCTTTGCACAAAGCGACGAATGTTGTCCGGCTGGGACGTTTGTGAGCAGACGCTGAGCTTTCTCGCACTGGGCTTGTGCCTAGTGTGAAAGCGAGCGTCGAGTACTCGGCAAGATCCGACAAGATTCGAGATGCAAGCCCCGGCACTATCTTGAGGGAGCTAATCGTCTGACGCACAAGCGTCTGAAGCGGAGTAAGCGCGTCGATGTCTTGAGTATGATCTGGGCTTCCGGTGTAGGTGACGCAAGTCATCAGAACATCGAGCAGCTTCCCATGCTGTTCCAAATCGAAAGTCTCTCCGATGTCAGCATAAATCGGTGCCAGTACGTGCAGATACGCGAGCAAGTTGGCTTGCGTAAAGGTAGAGACCGTCGGTGCAGGACGGATAGAGTCGCCCGCTGCAGCCCAAACCTGCCAGGCAGCGTTCTTGGCGTACAGCAAGACTTCCGTCAACCCCGCCTCACTTTTGGGCGGCAATGGCACGCTAGCCGCGAGGACCCAGGCCTCCCCAGCAGCCTGTGAAATTGCACTCGGGCCCGCCAGAAAGTTTGTTCGTAGGAGACGCAAGGCTCGGGTCCAGGTTGGCTGAAAGTCTGCTTGACCAACAGCGGCGATTTTCGAAACGAGGAACTGGGAAAGCACCCTTCCGAAATTTTCCAGAGCCAGAACTCGGCTCTCGTCCCATTGCTTCTTTATGGATGGGAGAGTGCCCATTGTTGCCGCCGTTTCATCAGCCTGATCGACTTTTGCCTTTTCGATCGAGTCCGAGAGCTCAGTGAGTCGCTTGGTCTCCGCGTCCAAGTCGTCAAACAAGGTGTACACCACCTCAGCCATCACTGCTTGAGACCACGTTGTCGGAGTCAGCATTGAACCGTACTGCTCGAGGACGCGAAATAGATTGACGATGGCACCGTTGCGGACCTCCGACCGATCGTCGCGCGAAACGCGCAAAAGCGATCGCAGCAAGAACATCCACTGTGCCGTCAATTCGTCCGGAATAGTCCCAACTCCTGCAGCTCTCTCGCCACGCGCGGAGAGCTCCGCAGTGATGCCCCACAGAGTATTGTTGGCAGTCAAGGCGACATTGACTTCTTCATGTTGCGTGCTGAAGGTTGTCAAGCATCCTATGCTTATCTCCAGCTGCGGAGGCGTTAGCAGCGCCAGCAAGTCAGAGCAGACCAACTGCAAGCTTGGGAAGGCAGCTTTTATGAGGGGCACGGCAGACTTTTTGGGTAGTTCTGGAGGCTTATCAGCGTCTTGCAGAGAGGTACTTCCTGCATTTTGGTGACCACAAGCAGCGCTGCACATCTCAAAGATGGTTTCCCAGCCAAGACGAAGGCCGTGTCCGTGTGCCTCGAGCACGCGGAGAAGCGTATCCAGACCAGTGCGCCGGATGTCAAGGTCTGCTGCGCTCTCTCTTTTGTGGCTCAAGATCGCTTGCTTTGCCAGGACATCGATGACCTGGCGTGTTATCCGTGATGGGTAGTCGTCTTGGTTGGCCGAGGCGAGAGTCATTGAGGCCTCTGCAGACGCAGGCATGGTCGCCATCGCGGCAAACAGGAAAGCGTCCAATGCTTCAGCAGCTTGGAGTCGAATCGTGGTCCCCAACAGTTGATCGTTCAGAACAGACAAGTAGAGACTCGTGCTGATATCCCAGCCTGACGCTGGATCCGAATGCGCTAACCGAGGTGTATTCTGCAGCACTACGGCTTCTAGGTTGGCCAATGCAAAGCTTCTGCCATTGAGATTGAGCCGAGAAGCAGCTCGCAGATTTTGACCAGCGTTCGCCTGAGATGATGGCGGTCTTTCCAAGCCGACAGTGCGTGCACAAAGCTCGCAGAGAGCTTTGATGAACGCAAGCAATGCCGCGTCGTCGAGTGCATGCGAATTCTCGAACACGCGAGTAATCTCAGCAAGCAAATGCTCAGGCTCAAGATTGCTCATGGCTGCTGCCCTTCTTGTTTTTGGATCGAGGGCGCTTGCTGAGGTGAAACCGGGAGGTATAGACGACAGGGCCGAAAAAGATGCCATGCTGGCTCGAGGTGAGTACAACGCGTCGATTTCGCCCTGAGGCTCCCTAAGAGACTCGTTCTTGGAGCGCCTGGCTCGTGGTGCGCGTAAGACGAATTCTGCATCGCACAGGACAGAAAGCACACTTTGCCAAGTTAAGGAGCCAGACAAGTAGTATGCAACTTGGGTGAAGGCTTTAAGGCACGCAGCGTTGCGCTCACTCAGCGTGGGTGCGCTCGTGGATGAATTCTCGTTGGCACCTGCTCGAGCCATTGCTTTGCGATGCTCTTCGACCCTGTTGACGACCGATCTGGGCACAGCGAAGTGCGCCAAACTCGCCAACAGCGCGTCGCGCTGGGCGGAAAGGGCCAGCACCCCTGTCGTGTTAGTAAAGTTGCGCCAAGCGACCAGAACTTCACTGAACAGGGCCTCGTCCATGCGCGAGCCGAGGAAGAAGGTGAAGCTTGACAAAATTGGCGTCCATGCCTTGCTGATGATGTCGCGCACCAGCTGTAGCTCGGCCAGTCTGGGACCACTGTATGCTGCAAGATCCAGTGCTGGTGGTGCGCGAGACGCGCTCTTGGGCCGCGAGTTGACAGACGCCGAGTAGATGGGCAAGACGAAAGCGGCTAGCGTTTGGGAAAGACAGACCAAGCTCTGCAAGGCCAGCAAATAAAGATAGGTGTTGGGAGTGGCTGGTGGCTCGGTCTTGTCTAGCTGATCCAGCAACTGCAGAGAGGGAACGCTCCCGTGACTCAAACCTGACGAAGACGCGCTTGAGGACGACGGGCTCGAGTCGGTCCCAAGCAGGCCGCTCACAGCACCTGCTGCAGCATTGTAGAAGCCAGCCTGGCTACTTGATGCTTTGGTGTGCACATGACCCTTGCTGCTGCCCTCATCTGAAAGTTGATGCGCCGCTTCTGCCATACCTATGAGTTGTGGGTTCTCCACGCTGATGTGGTGCAGACTTTCCACAAGACCCATGAAAACGCGCGAGGCTGCTTGGGTTCCATCGTACCAGCGCCACAAATTGCGTAAAAGCTCACCGTCAGAGCAGAGGCCCCGAGCCGCTTCCATTGCGAGGATGCGGAGCCAGGCGGGACTCGCTTGCTGGCCTTCGGCGCTCGACCTCCGAACATCCTTTGGGGCAGCTGGGTTCCCTGCGGATGACACTTGAGACAGAAGTCGCTGCAGAATGCTCATCAATATCTCGACCTCCACTTTGAGCTCTGAGTTGAATTGTCGAAGAAGCACAAATAGCAGGCGCACTAGCCGTAAGGTGACTGGAAAGTCTGGTTGCTCGCTGAGCGCTCTGATGAGCAATGGACAGATAGACTGACGCAGGCTCAACAGCAGCTCTGGATGGTTTGCCGGCTTGAAAAGATACGCGTGATTCTTGAGAATTGACTCGATGAGTTCCAAGGCGAATGTGCGTGGCAGCGACGCCAGCCCAAGGAAAGGTGCCTCGTCGCCGCTTGCGAGGGCGTTGAGATCGCTCAATAGCCTGTACGCGTCTTTTGAGCTCGGGAAGAGGGTGATACCATCGCTCCCTGGCACCGGAACTGTCATCGCTGCCAAAGGTGCGACGGCAGCAGCTTTCGAAGGAGCAGAGAAAGTCTCAGCAGGCTAAGAGGAGGAGAGGGTGAAACGTGGACATTCTGCAGCGACTCACCATCTTCTCCTCCCTCCTTGATGCCATCCAGAATTGCGTCCTCCTCTTTGACCTTATCGAAGACGGTCATGACGACCTGACTCAGCGTGGCGCCTGCAGCCGTGTATACTGCCGTCACCTTGCTACTTTCTCGCATTTGGAAGCATATCAATAACGTCTTCGAGAGTAAGTCGTCATGAATGTTCGGATAGGAAGTGACCAGCGAAGCGACAACTTGCAGAGCCTTGAGGTGCACATCGACGTCTTGCCTCGTCTGAACCAGCCCTGTCAGAGTGTCTATTATTTCCGCGAGCGCCGACTATGGATTGGAAAAGGTGTCAAGACCTGGGCGCGTCCAAGGAGGGCAACAATGCTTGCTGCCTATTTGCAGGACTCACCTCTGGAACCGCCTTCAAATCTACCACTCGCTGCATCATGCCTACAGCGATACTGGTCACCTTGGGAGCCGTCTTTGCAGCACAAGATAACAAAAGCGGCCGGAGCAGCACATTGTCATATGCCCGAATTGACTCCGATTTCGCTGCGGCAAGAGTCACCGACTGGTCTGATTTCAAAGCATTTAGTGCTGCATCTGCGGCAGTTCGCACGTCAGGATGCTTGCGCTTCGACTCTGAAGAGAGCAAAGCGAGCTCTGAAAGTAAGCGTTCTGACATTGTGAAGTGTGGTGGCCCTGTTGACTAGCTGGCTCGCATGTCGTACAGGCAAGCTCGCTAAGATGAGACTGAGACTGAAACCCCTGCTCGATGGGAGGAAGCGCGAAGGTGTCGATCGCGATGTCAAGTGAGAGTCTGCCGAAACACGCTTTGCAGTTTGAGGAGCATGTGGATCCGCAGCAAGGATCAAGACGAGGAAATGGATGAGGTAGCATGCAACCACAAATCACGAATCGTGAATCTCGAGTATTCATGCTCCGAAAGGTTGCCGGCAGATGCGCAGATGCGCCTCGAAACGAGTCGTGAGTGTCAAGTCATGCAACGTCGGATCTTGTTTGACGCTGCGGGGAAAGCCCGTGCGCGCCGGCCACATGCGATATCCCAGTCAGCACGTGAGGTACTATGACTCCACCTCGCTTGGTCCTCAATCAAACTCACGACTCTCACAGACTTGAGAAGGAAGCAGCTGGCAGCTCACGTCTGCAAGACCAGTATCACCCGCAGACTTGAGTCCAAAATTGTGGCCCGTCATCGCTGCTGCTGATCTGCGCCAGACCTCAGAGTCGCAGCATCAGCAACAAAAGCGCATGTAGAGATCAGCTATTCGGGCTCGCCCACCAAAATGTCGTCAGACTCGGCAGATGCAGTAGACACCCGTGGTATCGGTGGAACATCGACGAGCAGCTCTGGCCAAGCTGGACTTTCCTCCCTGGATGGCTTTCGACAACGGAATGGCGAGCGATTTGGTAGCAAAGGAGACTTCAAAACCAGACGCACAGAGTGAGTGTCGCCAAGCAGACTATTCGACAATGATGCGGGAGGCGTTTTGGAAGAGCTTGACATTTCATGCTGTCATCTCCTCCTGCCTAGACTGCTCGCCGAGGCGCGCAATTTGGTACCGCAAGCGGCCGACTCGGGCTCGTATCATCGAGCAGAAGTTGCCTGGTCTACATTTGACGATCCAAATGATCAGCTCGGTGGAGATGGCCGCGCAAGGGAAACATCTTCGGCCAGCCGATCTGCAGTCCTTGACTGGTCGGATTCCAAGCTAAGAGACGACACGCTGAAGCTGATCGAACAATTTCTTGCCGATGAAGGCTTCGGAGCGACAAAGCAAATGCTTGCGGAGGAGTGGAGCGGTCAGGTGCGAGCGAGGGAAGAACAGAGCGCGGATGCGCGAATGCTACGGAAAGGAATCTTGGGTGAGTCAGGCCTTGAAACGCGCTCGCAATCGTTTTGGGCAATACTTGTGAGCGCTCCATTACTCAGATCGCGTTTTCACTTCTACATACCTGACAGAGGGTGCCTGGGACGAAGTAGAAAAGCTGCTATCCAAGCCTCTGGTCAGGAGCATCAATGCCTTCCGCTATGCGTGCTACAAGCAGATCTTCCTTGAGCTGATAGACGGTCGGGAATTTCAGAAGGTGCGCAAAGTATGTCTGGTCACCGTGTCGGGCTGAACAGCTTCTGACCCTTTGCACGCTGGGGCTTCGTAGGCCTTCACTTTCTTGAACAAGAGGTTACGCGGTTTGGAGCACTTTCAACCCCATGCCGAAGAATTCAAGGACCTATGCTATCTCCTCTCAGGTGATTTCCCCTTTGCTGCCGACGCTTTTTTTGGTAGTTCCTGGCTCTGCTCACTCGTTTTCATCGCAGCCAAAAGCATCACCGACGCCCCCTCTTTCAGGTCTTGGGAAGGAGCTCAGCCGGCACGAGAAGCGCTCGTCTCTCAATTCTCAGGGCTGCTCGAGCAAGATCACCTGGATGCTGCTGCTGCTGCTGATGAGGCCACGGGTGGTCATACGAGTGACCCAGCTTCTGCTTATGTTCCACCTGAGAGGCTCAAGAGCTTGCTACATATGGCAGTAGCGTACCAAGTTGAATTCAGCAAGTATCATCCGAGGAAGGCACCTCGCGTCCGGAGCTTGCTGCATGACTATGGTGAGCCAGTCTGCTGAAAGCGCTCGCGTATCACGACCGCCTCAATTCACACGCTCTCCCCCCGTTTCTCAGAGTCTTACGTCATTCCGGACAGCATATCGCAAGTGTTGAGAGGCCACAGGCGGAACGTGAAAGCACTGTGCTGGGTGGGGTCCGAGGGCTACTCGTTGCTCAGCGGCTCGTCTGATGGCTCTGTGCGTCTGTGGGACCATGCTTCTGGTAGATGTGAAGCGGTTTTGGAGCACGGAGGCAGAGTGTGGGACGTGGATTCGACCAAAAGCGGCGCGTATCTGATCAGCGCTGGTGGAGATGGAACCGCTAAAATTTGGGCACGAGACGTGTCCGCATCAAGCGGTGGTGCCCCTCATTCCACCACTACGACTGCTGCTGGAAATGTGACAGGAGGCGCGGCTGCTGGCGTGGAGCTTAGACATACGCTCAAATCTTCGACTGGCGACGTGTATGCTTGCCGATGGCAAGAAGATGGCAGCAGACTGTTGGCAGGTGGATATGACAAGCTTGTCCGACTTTACGATGCCACTACGGGCTCGCTTGTCAGCACATTTACCGGCCACTCGCTAGGCATCACGAGGTGAGTATGGCCAGAGCTCGTCCTGTCGTGCGACTTCGGTATCTCAAGCACCGCTCCTCTGGGTTGGCCACAGTGTCACCTTCGATCCTGCAGCGAGGATAGCGATCACAGCGTGAGTGGATCGGCAGACGATACAAAAGTACGATACAAAAGTAGAGCAGCACACTGAGAGTGCGTCTGAACCACATGACCACAACAGATCCAAAGACACTCGGATACGAATTTGGGACCTCAACAGCGGGCTAGCCGTGCGCACTTTGCATGCCCATCTAGGAGAATGCACTAGCGTAGAGGTCGATCCAAGCTCCAGACTACTTCTAAGCGCGGGCAAGGATAATCACAGGTGAGCAGCGCAGCGATTCGAGGTTGATCAGCTCGAGCGGCAGCTGATCCGTGGTGCTGCGGCTTTTGCAGCTTGGTGCACGACCTGCGTACGCTCAAGCCGATGGTGCGCTTGAGAGGTTCGACAAATACGCGCGCCAACTTTGTCAAGTCCCACTTTGCCCACAATTCTCTGGTAGCTTCTGGCTCCGAAGACGGGGTGGTCCACTTGTCAGACTTGGAGTCGGGCGAAGTCATCTCGACTCTCAATCATGGTCCTGGCGTGGTCTATGCGGCCAGGTGGAACGCGAAACAGGCTGCACTGGCTAGCTGTGGAGATGATGGCGTTGTACGCACATGGGCTTACCAGCCAAGCTCGAAATAATACTCGAACAGGTCATTCGCGCTCGGCGCACACGGGTGTCAAAGTGACCGAATCTGGATCGTCTGTGGCATTGTGGCATTGCAAGTTGGAGGATCTGATAGGTCCGCTGATTTTAGAAGTGTAAGTGTCCATTCTCGTTGCCAAAAGCCTGGCGTGCCGGACCAGAGGCCGTCAGCTAGGTGGAGGATGCTTTGCGCTTTCACTGGCCGCCGATGTACTTGAAGTCGGTCAGAGCGAATGTGCTGCCGTTGGATCCGCGCGGGCTGCCGGTGATGGCGCCAGTGTCCTTCTTGATGAAGTAACGGAAGTCCTTCTTGTTGTCCGCCTTGCGTCCATTGACGAACTCGATCCTAGCGTCGTTGCCAGTGTAGATGATCTTGAACTGATCAAAGAGACGGCTGCTGTCCTCTGCCGTTCCGCAATCCTTTGTGATGAAGTTGGTCACGCTAGTAGAGTCGTCGGACAGACGAGCGTCGGTAGCGATGCAAGTGTTTGAGTTTGCCAGTGCCAAGTGACCGTAGGTGATGGAGCCGCCCATAGCGCCAGTAGGAGCGTTGGAGTAGCCAAGGAAAGATTCGGTGCAGTCAGAGAAGACGACTGGAAGCTTGGTAGTGCCAACGGCGGCAAAGAGCTTCTTGTTCTTGATCACGACGGGCGTTTGATCTTTGCCGTCCTTGTGACGGATGACCAGGTTGCCCTTGTAGGTCGGCTTGCAGGTTTGCACCTGCACTTGAGCGGCGCGAGGCTCGAGCACGGGAGCGGCAGAGACCATGGCGAGAGATGCCACGAAGGCAACGGCAGCAGCGGCAAAGGTGGACTTCATCTTGGCTTTGGTGGATCGGCAAAAGGGGGGAAATTGGCAGCGGAGGAGAAAAGGGTGGTAGCAGAGGCTTCAAAGGAGGTTGTTAGAACTGGAACTGAAGGAGGGCGATGCTGGAGCAGGAGCGGGATGAGGAGCAAACCGCTTTGTCAAGATGTCGAGCATCATGGACCTCTTTATAGACTTCGAGCAAGAATACTGATAGCGCAAGCCTGATTCAGCCCCAGGCGGCGATACATCGATTTTGATCACTGCGGGATATGCATGGGTGCGATGTGCATTCTTGATTCAGTCGTGAGTATGGCTTCGAAGTCATTCACGACTTGCGCCTCAAGGCCCATGACATTTTGATTCACAGGGCCCGCGCATGTCCGACGACGATTGCGAGGTGCTGGGCGGGGCTATAATCTAGGTCAATCACACACACACACAACTTTCATGTGGGGCCGCTTAGCAGCTGATGACGACGATAATGAGGGCAGCAACGTCGATGTCGCAGCTCAGGAACGGCTAGGCAAAGCCAAGCAGGCCCGTCTGCATGCAACATCTGCAACGTCGGATCGGGAAGGTCGAGGCGCGAGAAGTGGACAAGATGGATCATGCAGGAGGCTTGCCACACAGGTCGACGGGTCCACGCCGCCGGCGAGCGCGTGCGAGGGCAATCGTGAATCACGAATGAGTGTGATGGTTGGTGAATCGCGCAGCGCCCTCGCAGCCGTCGGTCGCAACAAAGGGATCTCATGCAGCATGATGACGGGCAAACATGAAAGTCTATACCGCGCAGGCCGCCGGGCGGAACCCTGATGCAGCAGCAGCAGCACCTTCCTCACCTTAATTTGGATGCTGCATGCATGCATGCACGGAGATGAGCAGCTTTCATGCGCCTTCCCGCATTTGCGCGATGGCTTGAGGTGTGGCTTTTTCTCCGCAGACCCTCAGGAAAGCGTACATCGGCTATTGACATCCGATAGCCGCCATGCACGACCTCAGCGAAGGACGCTGATGGTAGAGCTAGATGACCATCCATAAAGCAGTCGTGGTCGAGTGTTATAGCTTCTTCACCTATAGCAATCAGCGCGGCTTACAGAGTTCAGACGCTGCTGGCTATCAAAGTAGACGCCCTCCCCTCATGATGCACAAAGAGCGAACCGTGCATCAGCGTGAGTAGTGGCCCAGGCTCAAATCTTACACTCTAGGTGCCTGACGCCGCAATGCCATCACCAGGGGTCAGTGCACAAGACACACACGCTTATGATCATGCTAGACAGCGTCTCAAGACGCGACCGGCCGCAAGCAGCTGTGCAGCTGGGCATCAACGCTCGAGCCCCGAGTCATGGATCTGACTCACGACCACGTTGTCTTGAAGCTGGATTATCGTGGGCGCTACGTTTAGATTCGCATTACAGCAAAATGCCAAGATCCGAGCTTGCAGATTGCACTCTCGAGAGGTTATACGCAAGATGGTACGACAGGTAAGCTCTCAGAGTGAGGTGCGTGGAGAGATCAGGGTGCAAGTTTCTGCGAGTCTGCTTTGCAAAGAAAGGTCAGTCCGTCTCGACACGCACGCTAGGTCGGGATCATGCTCTTGGTCATCACGAAGGTAGTTGGCGCGACGAGCGCCAATCATCCCCTCGCCTCTTTTGGCGCGCCAGAAGCAGTAAATGGTGCATGCCATTGAGGTGGATATACAAGAAGGGTCACAACAGCGTTCATCGTCCGTTTCGAGGGGGAAATTAAGCCAGGTTGAGTGCCGGAATATTCGGGAACATCACCTATCCGTGTTTGACTAAAGGAGACTCCGATGCTCAACCACTATTGGATAGCGCTCTGTGGAGCCTAGTTGATGGGAGCCACATTGATCAAAGCGAAGGAGCTGCCATCCTCGTATGCGGTGTTGCCCACAATTTCACGGTTATCGGCGCTAACAATGTAGCGGAATTGAGGTAGCGCATCCTCCTTGCGACCATTCACAAATTGAAGAGTTGCATCGGTAGGGTTGTTGATGGTGATTTTCCACTGGTCGAACAATCTGCCGCTGTCCTCCGCACCAGCGTGTGGAGCCCCATTGAGGATGAAAGGAGTGCTCTCACGCGAGTTGCCATAGCGCGTCTGGATGGCGATCTGACCGTTTTCACGGCCGAGAGGGACCACAGCAACATTTCCATACTTTACCGATGCATCAGTGGAACTGTATCCAAGGAACTTCTCCGTGCAAGTCGAAAAGATGACTGGGGTTTTGGGCACGTTGCGCTTGGATGGAGCCTCGAGGGCATGCGTTTGAGGAACGCGTAGAGTACCATTCTCGACTACTACAAGTCGGTCTCCTTGACCGCCTGGACCGCGGTAGACCAGATCGCCTTTGAGGGTAGGCTTGCAGCTTTGCAGATCGACTTGAGCAGCGCGAGATTCAACGGCGGGAGCGGCCAGGGCGATTCCAGAGGCAACAAAGACCATAAAAGCAGCGGCGACGGAAGACCTCATCTTTGCGATTGCAAGCGTAGATGCGTTGGGAGGTGTTGCGAGAGCGAGAGCGAGTGGAGTGGCACGATGACGGAAGAAGCCTTGACTTGATTGCTTAGCAAGAAGTTTTGCTGGCGAGCGGAAGATTGTAGCTGATGGAGAAGATGGCGCCGAGAATAAGAGCAACGTCGAGCGGTGTTGTTTTATACCTTTTCGCAACGGCGCTGTCCATCGTAGTCTCCGCGCTTCGTCTATGCACAGCTTGGACGTGCGCTTTGCAGCCAAAGGAGATGAGGAGTGCCTTGAGCAATTGACCGCCAATTGTCGATGGGATGGTGACGATCTCGGGGATCTCGCCGCAACTAGCTCGCCCCCAAATTTGGTGATCGTTGCGCATGAAAGCAACAGATCTATGCGCCCTCTGACTAGCGTGTGCATGTGCATCTTAGTGCGGTCGGGGCGCAGCGCCCATATGATATGTGACCCCAGGCTGCTGTCGGCCAAGCACATCTTTCGCGCCTGTTCAGTGGTCCATCACTCACAATGGACCGCTCACGACCCTGTGTGTGGTGACAGTGATGTGTGCTCCGCCGCAACTGGCTGGCTTGCCCTCAAATTTGGTGATCGACGCGCATGGAAGCAAAAGATCTACGCGCCCTCTTCTGACTAGCGTGTGCATGCGCATCTTAGTGCGGCCGGCGGTCGGGGCGGGGCCGCCCATATGATATGCGGCCCCAGGCTAATGTCGGCCGAGCATTTCTTCCGCTCCTATTCCGTGGTCCATCACTCACAATGGACCGCTCACGACTCTGTCTGTGGTGACAGTGATGCTTTTCCTTTCGCTTGGCCTTCTCCAAGGCAGACCTCGTCGCGCTGCTTGAGCGGCAACCAGTCGCAGTCGTTAATCACAAAGTGGCTCGATCGGCACGCAACGGGCTCTTCCCACTCTTTCAGCAGACGTTCGAGTCCACCTTTCCGCCTCGGCTCTCCATTTCTCTCAACCCAAACCCGCCAACTTGACATAGGGACTGACTCCCGACGCCTGTGACTCACCGTCATGCATCTGCGGTCACTCAGACGGTACCAAGTACCGCAAATCTGTCATGCCGGCCGAGCTGGACCGACAAAATACGTAGGCGCCAATCAAATGGGGCAGGCTGTTTGAGGAGTTTCAGGCGATGCGTGCACAGAGCGTTCGGTGATTTCGCCGGCCAAACTTCACACCGAATGTCTAAGTCTGTAGCATAGTCCGATCTAGATTGCTGCATTGTGCGTGTACAGGCACGGGATGAGACCCGTTCATTGCTTCCTCCTATGCACTTGCAGCCTCATGGGTCTCGTCGGCGCTCTCCAGTGGCTCTGGCTCAAGTCTGGCAAGGGGATGCTCTTCAAATCGTACGATTTGCCCTTATCGTCGACCGTCTGTATATCAAAGGTCAACAACACGGTCGACAGAGCAATGATGGTTTCGAGTTTTGCGAAGCGCATACCCGTGCATTTGCTGCGACGCGAGCGAGCGAGTCAGCGAACCGAACACCAACACGCCCACCCCTCCCAAAACGACCTCGCTTTCACTCACTGTCTGCCGCATCCCCATCCTAGATAGGTGTACTCGTTCGCACCCTCTCCCCGTTGATACCTCGAAGGATCGAATGCCCAGGGCTCCGGAAACATGTCTGCATCGTGCAGGTTACAAGAAGGCGGAATGATGATGTACGCATCGTCCTGTTCCAGCACATTCAAAGTCCTTTGAAGCTAAGCATTCTTGCACTGTATGTTTCTGCAATCTCCTCGCGCATACTCACCTCGATTTCGTGGCCCATAATCTTGAGTCTATCCCTGAGGACCCCTTTAGAATCTCTGCCTGGGCCGGGGTAATACCTGTTCAAGGAGTTGGTGAGGAGCAGTCGGATGGTCTCTTTGAAGCAGGCATGCAGGGTAGAGAAGCCAGCTTCCCATTCTTCCAACTTGACTCGATCCAGCTTCTCCGCGGTGGACAGCTCGTCGTAATCATCTCCACGCGCAGCAGCAGCAGCTCGTAGTCCGGCAATGAGCTCCGATCGACACGTGGCTTGGAGTGAGGAGGAAGCGCCTACGAATGCGATCGTGTATGCCCCGGTACCAATCGTATTCAGGATCTTCGGAGAGCAATGAATGGCGTGTCAGCGAATGATGAGACAGGTCATCTCCACAAGCCATTGCTCGACTAGGCCCAAAAAACAAATAGGACTCACCCCGGCCATCAGACCACCAATGACAAATCTGCTGATGTACGCAGTGCTCTGTTTCTGATCAATGAGGATCTGGGCAAAGTCGTCGAACCTCTCTTGCTTCTTGATGCGCTGATCAAGCGTCACCTTGACCATTCTCCAAAGCGTCACAGCCCCTACGATTCTCTTGATGAGTCGAGGTTGAGGTAGCCAAGGCATGACAGTCGTAAAGAATCCACTGTTCAGCTGAGTCGCCCAAAAGGCGTTCATGAGCTTCTTGAGCGAAGCAGAATCCGTGGCGTACTCCGTCATGCCCATCAGCCGTACAGTGTAGCGGAAGATGAGGGGGTAGTAGGCTTGTTGAAGATCGACTGTGGACGACTGTCCCGATGGGCCGCCGACCCAGTCATCAAGCAGATTGATGGCATCTTGGACGAGAGCTGGCCTCATGGAATTCAGACCTGGGACGGAGAGGGGAGACGTCAGCTCGAATGGCAAGTTCACGTCCGCACGCCTGGATACAAGGGTGTGACTGCTAAGCAAGTCGCACTTCAGAACGTCGACCGTCCTTGCATCTGGCAAGGATTCGTAGCGCGCCAGCAATCCTACTTGCCCGGCCACTCACGCTGTGGACTGATGGCAGCAGCTAGCATTTTCATCTCCTGCCTTTCCTGCTTGTCCATCTCTCCTTCAATGAGTCCCTTTTGACTCGCGCC